CCCCAAAACCCCAAAACCCCAATCCCCAAAACCCCAAAACCCCAAAACCCCACATTCCTTTGGTATATAGAGAATTTTTAATCAGATGAAAATAATAATAAAATGGAGAAAGAGAGTTATAAAGACAATGACAAAGGAGGCTTGCTCTACAACAAACTCAAGAAACTCATCTCAGTAGTAGATGAGCTGAGAGATGTTGGCCTTCAGCAGTATATCAACTTGCCAAGAATTGCAGTCTTAGGCCAGCAGAGTTCAGGAAAATCCTCAGTCCTAGAATCTATTGTAGGAATTGATTTCCTTCCAAGAGGATCTGGAGTCGTAACTCGTAGGCCAGCTGAGTTAAGACTTGTTCATGAGGCTGATGAGAATTCCAAGCCATGGGCTGAGTTCACAGAGCTCAAAGGTCAAAAGTTCTACGATTTCGAAGAGGTTAGGAGTACTATTGATGTTTTGACTGACAAGATTGCAGGAAAGAAGAAGGGAATTGTGGACAAACCAATTGTTATCACTATTCATTCCCATACCTGTCCCGATTTGACATTGATCGATTTGCCAGGTATCACTAGAATCCCTCTCCAAGGTTCAGACCAAGGCAAAGATATTGAGAAAATAACAAAGAAGATGGCTTTAAGATATGTGAAGGACCCAAGAACCATTATTTTGGCAGTTATCCCAGCTAATGCTGATATGACCACCTCTGATGCTTTGCAGATGGCTAGAGATCTTGATCCTAAGGGAATCAGAACTATTGGAGTAATTACCAAAATCGATATCATGGACAAAGGAACAAACGCTAAAAGAATGATCACTGGGCAAGAGGTTCCATTAAGACTTGGATATGTTGGAGTCAAGAATAGGTCCCAGCAGAACATTAATGACAAAATGAGGGTGGAAAAGGCTTTGAATGCGGAGAAATTATATTTCTCAAGTCATAAAATTTACTCAACTCTTCCTTCAGAGTGTCTCGGAACTGCTTCTTTGACCAAAAAGTTGACGAAAGTCTTGTTTACTCATATCAAAAATTACCTTCCTCAAATCGTAAAGGAGATCAACGTCAAGAGAAAAGAGGTAGAGGATAGGCTAAGAGAGTTAGGACCTCCACTTCCAGAGGAAGGTTCAGAGAAAATGCAGCTTTTGTGGAACATGGTCACAGAGTTCTGCACTAACTTCAAGAACACTATTGGTGGTCGTTACATTAGTCAGCAAGATAAAACTACAAAAGGAGTCAGTGGTGGCGCTAGAATTAAGCATTACTACTACAAGTTATACAAGGAATACATCGGTGGATATTCGGCAACAGATTCATACTCTGATGTTGACATTGAGAGGGCAATCAAAATCCATGAAGGGTATAGTATGCCAGGTTTCCCATCTGTTGATGTATTCATTTACCTTCTCCAGCCCCAATTGAGCCAACTTAGAGAGCCTGCTATGGAATGTCTGCAAGATGTCTATATCTACCTTGAAAGCTTAGCAGACGAACTTGCTCAAAAAGTATTCTCTAGGTTTCCCGGTTTGATAGGCGAAATTCTAGAAGTTGTATCAAGATGTCTCCAAGACGAAAGAGATAAAACAAAGGAAATCTTGGAATGACTCATTGACTCAGAAGAAGGCTACTTGTTTACAAATGATTATGAATACCTTATGAACAGGACAGACATAGTTCCAGGCAACAAAGACGAAAAGAAACATCTCAGCAGTACGACTGTCTTCGTAATGGAGCTAAGACAAAGAATTGACTCATACTTCAATTTAGTCATTAGAAACGTAAGAGATAGAGTGCCAAAAACTATTGGCCACTTTTTAGTTAAAAAGTGTCAAGATAAGATCCAATTCCACTTGTATTCTGAAATCAATAAAAACTCTACATTGAATAGCATTCTGGGAGAGCATCCAGCCATCACTGAAGAAAGAAATGATATGACAAAGAGTCTTGAAATAATGAAGAGGGCAACCAAAGTACTCCAGAGAGACCCTGATATCACTAATGTTATCTCTTTTGATGATAAATTAGAGAAAGATCTTAGAGAAGAGAGCAAAGAGAACAGGAGGAGACCTCCACCACAGAATAGATCTAGACAGACTCCGCCAAGCTCTGCTGGCCCAGATTCAATGAGTGGAAGACCTAGCCCAAGCCCAGGAGGTGGAGAATTCCGTCCACCAGTAGGTGATGGTAGTGGATACGACAGAATGAAGAGGGAGAGTGCCAATCCTCACATGATGAGAGTTCAACAACAACCTAACAATGCTCCTCTTTCCCAGACCCAAGCAAGACCCCAGCAACCAAAACCTATCCCTCAAAGAAGCAACCAGCCAAGAGGTGGTAATGCTCCAGCTGACTTCGGGAATCTCTTTGGTGACAGCAAGAGTTAATTAGTTCGAGTCAATATTTACAAAATAACTCGGGGTTTTGGGGTTTTGGGGTTTTGGGGTTTTGGGGTTTTGGGGTTTTGGG